TTAATTAATTAATTAATTAATTAATTGGAATCGGATCACCACCAAAATCTCATCAATTCTAAGTTAGCCCATTTCTGACCTATCCTGAAATGTTATGACAATCCGGCTATAACTTTTTCAGTTAGGCTGTACACAAACAAACCCACAAACCAACAAACACTCGGCGAGTCGCCGAACAAACACACGCGGGTGAAAACATATAACCTCCTGCCAACCCCTTGGCGGAGGTAATAATGATTATTCAAGCTCTGTTTTACTGAAACGTATTGGTATTAGAAATCCATCCTTCAAGCATCCATCCATCTTACCATTTTCCTTAATCAAGTATATAAAAACGTATTATTGTGCAGCTTGGTTGTTCAGAGTTAAAATTCGTGGTATTTAGTTATTAAAATTAAAATTAATTGCGTGTACATAAATTTGAAACTAAGTGAATGTCAAGATAAATATAACAGCATAGATGTCACACAAGGGTGACATCACAGCACGTATATGGTATACGTGCTGTGGTGATATATAGCTGGGTTTCTGTATCTGTTCTTTATTTTTTCCAAATACATACCAGGTGCCATATAGCACATGCTACGTGCAATGACTGTATACGTGGGCGCGGTATTGATTCCAAACTCATCTCCAATTATAATAAAAGCTTTGTTTTTCTACGTGTACGCGGAACATCACGCAGCCTTCACGTACGTTGGTGTCATTCGAACCTAGCCGATTAAAATAACGTGAGATTCATTAACCGTTAATTCGTCACGGCATTACACTAGGTAAGCCAGTGAGCGTCAACATCAGTGCATTTGTGAGTAGATTCGCCTCGTGTTACCACATCGGCAGCGTCAGTGTTCTGTTACCGATGACGCCAGGTGCATAGCAACTAGAGAATCGAATGGGGAGAGCCGTTACATTGCACTGATGATTGCGCGGCGTGGCGTGGATGTTAATATATTGGGGGAAGATCCTCGGCATTAAATTTAGATGAAGCTATAGTCCTCCCCGTGGTTTGCGCGAGATGGCGGGATGGATGTGCAGTGCTCACAATGCTGGGTGAAGTGATGGAGGACATGTATGCACACATTCACGCACGCACGCACACACGCCCATGCACGCACGCACGCACGCACACACGCCCGCACACACGCACACACGCCCACGCACGCACGCACACACGCCCATGCACGCACGCACGCACACACACCCGTGCACGCACGCACACGCCCATGCACGCACGCACGCACACACGCACACACACCCGTGCACACACGCCCGTGCACGCACGCACGCACGCACACACCCTCGTGCACGCACGCACACATGTCCATGCACGCACACGCACACACCCATGCATGCACACACGCACGCACAATCGTCATTTATCATATCATAAAAGTGATCATCGCTGTTAGGCATGGATTTGCCTCTTAGTGATTCTGTGTTCTGAAATTATTTTTTAGGACAACTAAAACATTTTCAGTAGAATCCTCAACAACATCTCTAACAGTAATTCAAAACATCTTACCCAAAATAATTATTGCAATAATTGTTAATTAATATATATTCATTAATTTATTAAGCCCCCCCCCCATTTAATACTACCACCATATTAGTCATAAAATGTTGAACGTAAACACGAGAGAATCATTCTCAATGTGAAAACGCTTGTCTGTGAAATCGGCTAGTATGGGGAATATTTCATGCAAGCGCGTGTTCTCCATGATGTATCCCACCCGGGTGCATTTAATTGCATTGATCCTGTAATCAACGATCGACTAAAATCGTGTGACTTAAATAAAGTGAACATCTTACATAATTTTGTGCTATCTTACATTTTTTTACAAAAAATAAACTGAAAATACAGTTATGTGATTTTCTTCGCTTGTTATCATAAAATTGCCGTGTTATACCCAGGGTGCGAAATTAACGGGAGTCCGGAGTCGAATACTCCCTGATTTACTGTCGGACTCCCTGATTTGACATATGCAGGAGTCCCTGTGACTCCGTGAAAATTCTGCCATACTAAGTAGTTCGTTCCGGAGCCCGGCCTCATTTTTTCAGCTAATGTCCAAAGAAAATTTGGCAGATGTGCAACTGCATGAATCTTAAAAATAAGCGTTTGTGTTATTGTTAATATCTTTAATTTTGAACCTCAGACTGCGGACTCCCTCATTTTGCTACGGATTCCCTTGTTCAAAAGTTAATTTCTACTCCTGCTGTTCATTACCAATACGTGTTCCCGTTCCATTCAATGTAAACTAACAGCAGTGACTCTTTTTTTATAAAAATATCGTCCTTGTGTAAATGCGACGTAGTCCGTGCAACATATCACATCGCTAAGCTACATTTGGTGCCTTAATTGTGTTTTAGCTGGACCTGGCTCTTCTACTCTAACAGTGATGAGAAACGGTCCTCCGGGACAGATATCAATGACGACTCCAGCTGTGACCTTCCACTCTATGTGGATAGGGTGAGTGTGGGTGGCCATAAGGGTGTATGTCTCCCATGGTACTGTTAGAAATTACCTGTAAACCTCTCCCAACCCTAACTTAGCTGTAACTCTAACACTAACATTAACCCTAGTATTAACCTCAATCCTAAACTTAATCGTAACCCTAAGCGTAACCCTAATATGTTAACCTCACACTTAATTCTAACCATAACCTTAAAGCTAAGCCTAATATTGACCTTAACTCTATTATTAACCTCAGTCTTATGCCTAAACATAACACTAACCTTAAAACCTTACTTAACCATAACCTTAGCCATACCCTCGTGCTACCTTTCCTTTACCACTATCGTATAGCCCTAATCTATCCCTGACCTCCCCTATAAGCTGGGCGAGTGTGTACTTGGTTATCTGCAGCTGGGAAAATGTATAAGGTGTGATTTCTCGACAAGCCTTTGGGTAATCGCCTATCACTAAGAATGCATCTAAAAATAAATTGAGCTTCTGTATACGTTGTTGATGAGAGTATTATAGTTTAATGAAAATACCAACTCTCCGCCTATATACGTTTAATTATGGCTGTGACGCAAGTGATAGTCCCATCAATTAAATCTGAATGCAACGTGCTGGCTTGTTTGAGTTTGACATCTCTCTTATCACACACGTTTTATGCATCTGGAGACTCATAAATATTTTTTTGTATTATTTAAAAACCGTGCTGTGAATGAGTTAAGATCATGGCAATTTGTATCTGTTTCAGGGTCCCTTTTCCTGGTTGCTCGCAATATTCAAAATTCGGTAAGTATTAACCAATTTAAAGGTACCCATCAAAACCCCTGAAATCAATCAAACGATTTAAAGACTTTGTAAAACTATCATAAAAATGCGTGGTAACACACTATCACTCAATGTTTATTTCACTTTGCGTCATTGCAGAAATATTCAATCACGAATTAGTGATATTAAACGATTACAATGTCACAAAGTATATGGGAAAAAAATATAATTGCTTCCCCCTGTCTTGATTGCTTGGCAAAATCAGTCGATGAGAATTTAATGTAATAGTAGTTCATTAGTGTGAGTATGGTAAGTCTTACTGATTGCAATTCTCAAGCAACACACCTAGTCTTGTTTGTGCGTAAGAGTTCAAGGTGGAAAATTTAATGAAGTCACCCCGGACTGATTACAGTTACTTGTTTAACTACTATGTGTATATACATATATATATATATATATATATATATATATATATATATATATATATATATATATACGTATATAACTAGTATTATTTTACTAACCGTACGTAACGTTTAACGTTTTAACGT